CCCCCCCGAAAAAAGAAACCCGCCTTTGTGTGTCAGCGAAGCTTGGCGCACAGTTTTTTTTCTGCCTTGGCAAAAAGTCGCTCGAGGCAGTGGCGGTCAAAGCAACGCAGTTCCACCGCTTCGAAAATTGAGGGTGGTACCCGTACTGGCCTTTTGCAGATTGAGTGCTGGATCTGCTGCCAGCAGCTGGAACAAAGAGGAGGCCGCTGTTTTCATTCATGCGCCACCACAGCCAAACTCTCCAGCAAGCCAATGCATGTATCTGGCCTCATTTGAGGGCCTGATACAGGATGATTCTCTGACAGGCAATGAAGAAAGAAAAGAAAAAAAGGAAAAAAAAAGGTAGGTAGTTTCTTTTTCTCCCCCCTTTTGCTGGCAGGGCGTAGTGCAGCTTCTGCGCCCAACGTGCAGAGTTAGTTGCAACGGCATACTTCCTACTAAGCTCTGGACGTGATTGCCATCAGATTCATCTAGACCTGGTCATAATTGCGGTCGGATACATTTGGGAAACTGCTGGCGTGAGTATGGGCGGAGGCCAGCAGTTTCCTGAATGTGTCCGACTGCAATAGTGGCCAGGACTAGATGAATCCGGTGGCAATCACGTCCAGAGCTTAGTAGAAGAAGTCCGAGTGTGAGTATGCCGATGCTATCAGATTGATCCAGATCTGGTCATAATTGCAGCCACATACATTCAGAAAGCTGCTGTGCCCGCATACTCACTCACACTAGGACTGCTTTTCCAATGCTCTGGATCTGATTGCTGTTGGATTCATCCAGGCCTGGCAGTAAGATACATTCAGCAAACTTACAGCATGAGTATGCCCTAAAAATGATAAGGGCAGAGACTATTCGTTTCAGTGCCTGCCTCTCTCGGCGAAGAGGTGGGGATGGACGTAAGTGAGGGCATAATCACACTAGGACGTCCTTTTTATGCTGTTGACCTGATTGCCATCAGATTCATCTGGGCCTGACCCTATTTGCACAATTTTGCAGTAAGATACGTCTAGGGAAGTACTGTTTTTTGTTTTGTTTTTATTTTTTGAAAAAAAACACCTAGCACCCGGAAAGTACTGTGTTCAGTAACTTGAGTTTTTTTTGTTTTTTTTTTTGTTTTGGGCCCCACATTGTCTCATCCGTGCATGTGTTTCCAACTTTCCACTTGTGTCCTTTTCCGTTGGGCCCACCAAATTCCGTTGGGCCCACCAAATTCCGTTGGGCCCACCAAATCCCTTCCCTGTTGCATTACCGGTCCTTCCCCGAGCCCTGAAAAAATAGGAATGAGCCGGAGAAGTTTTTGGTGTCATGTGGTGGCGGTTTGAAAATGTCTGGGTCATGCCAGATTCTATCTGGGCCCTGTGCTGAATAGGGTATTTTACTATTTTTACTATTTTACTATTTTTCCTAAAACCAAGGGAAAAAATAATCTGAAAAAGAAGGGGCAAATACATCTGATGCATTCAGAGAAGGATAGAACCAGGAAGAAGTGTCACAATCCTATAGCTACTTTACCTCATATCAGCATGCAGAGTGCACTTACATTACATAGACAATCAAGACGGGGCCTTGGAAAAGTTTCAGACAGAAAAAGGGGCTGCAGCACTTGATCTCTCTCAGCAGAAAGACAATTAACTTGAAATAAGACAGTGTTTTGGCCCTTTTGGGTATGTTTAATTTGGAGGATTGTGTTGTTGTTTTTTTTTGTTTTTTTTTTTGTTTTTTGTTTTTTTTGAGGGGAGGTTTGCCAAATGTGTGGGCTGGTCTAACAGTCAATCCTTCCTCATGGAAGCGATCAATGCTGTCAGGGTTCCCCAGGAGGTAACGTGGGGAAGCGTTATGAGTGGACTCTGGACCCGGTTTCCAGCAGGTGGTCCCCACCAATAGAATGGAGATTTTGTTTGTGTTTCTTTATACATGTAAAAAGGATGTTGATAATGCAAACAGCTTTTAGCTGAATGTCGTCTTTGAAATCCTAACAGAGCTGAAGATAAAAACTGAAGTAATGTTTTGAATCAACAATGCAAAACCCTTCTCAATCCCACTAATCCATCTCTATACCACCTATGAACCCTACGATGGGCCAACAAGGCTACACACTTTTCATGAAATAATAACATAATTCTATTTTACTAATTTTTACATGCACAACATGCCTTTTTTTTTTTTTTTTTTCTTTGACATTTATTCAATTAGCTTTTCAATCATCAGGGCCTTGCTTGTAGAATTTGTAACATTGGTTTGAATGAATTGATTATTATAAGAAGGATCTTGTTTGTGGAAATACTGCAGGGTACCCTGGAGAAGCATTGCGGTTTGAGAGGAGAGTTGCTGGTTTGTTGGAGGCATTTCAAGAGTTGCAACTACCTCCGCGGGTTACGTCGTTGTTTTATGTTATGGGCGGAGAATGCAATTACCTTTTGCGGGTCGGGAAGGACTACCACCTGGAGTTTGTGCCTGACTACCTTTGGAAAGTAAGTTGCGTTGAAGTTTCGTTTAGATCCTCCATTTGTTATCGTTGTTACCAAGAACACCTGTGAATTCACCTCCCTCTCTTCGTCCTTCCTCTCGCTTCCTCCGCCACCCGTCCAGCACCCCTTGCTCCCCAACAACTCATACATTCATGTGTGAGGAGAACCTGAGAAAGCATTTGTAATTTTGTGCAGATTTTATTAGTTTTATAGAACATTTTTATAGGAACTAACATTTGTAATCGTCAGGTGCAATTTATCAGAGGCAGTGACATTCTGTTGAACCGATTTCTTGATTTCTGGAGACTTAGCTAGACCCCTTGGAAAAATGCCATCCCTGACCATAATCAACTGAATGATCAATCCGAAAAGGTACTGACTGACATATGGTCTACCCACTCACTATCTGTGGCGTTCTTTAAGTGCCGTGCATCGCTTGCTTCCGCCTGGCACGAAACTTCATTCCACAATGAATGGTTTTGCCGTATGTCTGTCATGACGGTAATATCAACTGAATGAGCAATCAGAAAAGGTACTGACTGACGTATGGTCTACCCACTTGCTCTCTGTGGCATTCTTTAAGTGCCGTGCATTGCTTGCTTTCGGCTAGCACGAAACTTCATTCCACAGTGCATGGCGTTCTTTAAGCGCCGTGCATGGCGTAAAATCAATGGATAATAGAATGTCCAAGTGACCAGTTCCGAAGTCAAAGCAAGCTCGTAATCATCATAGTTCTCAGGGCATACTCTAAATGGGACTTCCGCAGATGTATTGATGATAACAACAGTCTTTTTCAGTCAAGAAAGGCCTATTGTGAACATGCCTCATTCTGTCCTCCCCCAACCTGTGCTCCAATGGTCGGTTATGCTCGGTTACTTCAAATGCTTGCTTGTACTCCTGTCACTGACCTTGTTTCCCAAGAAGGTGCTCCCATGAAGAGAAGAAGACCATCTTCCGATGAAATAAGTAGTCCTGTGCATGCCAACAAAGTAGGGCTTGGGTGCAGAACAGCTAGGTAAAACAGGCTTGGAAAGAGTTGTGGTCTAATTGATATATATTATACAGATAGTAATGTAATAAGAGATCATAATCCTCATAATCATACTTGAACGCAGAGCGATTAACTCACACCAGATTCTTTTTTTTTTTTTTTTTTTTTTGTTTCTCCCTGGAAGGGCGACCGGCCGTGAGATGTCATCATCATCGAACTGACCGGCCAAGGTAATTCAGAATTGAAGTATATTACTTACCTGCTTCCAGTGGAGTTCGAACTCAGGTCTGTATTTCAACAGTTCAGGGGTCTACCAACTGAGCTAGTTCAGATGTGGTTTTGCCTCAATGGGTGATGACGTAAGCACAAATTAATGCAGAATGTCTTACGTCAGACTAGATGATATATGGGCCTTGCTTCACCACCCACCAAATGTGCAAAATGGGATCTTCTGCCACAACGAGGACAGATACACTCGCCATAGTTTTGTCTTTTTAACATTTGGTTAGCGAACTTAGCGGTGCGACTCGAGGTCCTATATCTGTGGTGGCTGAGATGTTGAACCTCTCTCCTGATTTGAATGGATGTACCACCCATAACTTCGACCCAAGCGCCTTGATCTGTCTGCACCCTTATCTTCTTCTGCCTCTTTCTCTTTGGTTATCAAAGGTCTCCGCACTCCGGAACCTAGGTAGCCAGAAGAGTAACTGACATTCTTTTGATGGTATCCAATGGATGTGTGTTCTTTTTTCACAGCCTGCTGAGATGCAAAATTGGAAAGAAGAGGATATCGAGGCGCTGCTAGGTCAAGCAGAGGTATGTGGTTCTAGGCTGAAACACCTGTCAGCTAACCAGCAGCCAGCTCCTTCCCCTCCGCCCTCACCGTCACCATGATCCTCACCCCTTGGAAGTCGTTTAAGCAGTCATGGGATGATAGGACCCATACTAAGACTGTGTTGTATTTTTTGTTTTATCTGTCAAGAAAGTATTTTTTTAAAGAAAACCTTATGGTTAGCGCTCCAGTTTTTTTAACTTTTATTTTAGTTGTCATTGTGAGGAACGAGTCCTCAAAGAGGCCCTATCAGACATCACATGTTCTGGACTAAGGCCCCCGGCAAGCCGTGTGCCCGCCCTAAGTGAAGGCGGGCCTGAATATTCGTCAAAGACCAAAATTCGACATTTCTATATGTGGGTATTCAGGCTCTCGCAGCACGCCAGTTGGTTGGGGAGACGCGTTAGCCTCACTAAGCTGCGTCATACAGTTGGCCCAGGCCTTGACAGTTGTGCCTGGGCACATACACACAAAGCAGGGCCGATACATTGGGAAGCAGGTCATCAGCCTTTGGAAAAGCAGTACTGCCGACGTACCTACCCGGGAGCCCTGCACAGCTGCAGCAAACAGCCCGAGTCCGGAGACTCAGGCCGCGCCCAACTGAAAAGGGCCCAGACCGTCAACTGTAGTCTGGGGCCTGGGCGCAGGGTCTGAGGCCCAACCAGAAGCTACTGGAAGCTTCCAGCCAGGCCACACGCAGCATCCAGGAGGCTGCCACTTCCATAAAAGAAGTGAGGCAGCCCAGGCCAGGCATTCTGGCCAGTGCAGGCAATGCGGAAGTGCTGCTGCGCTATCGCTTGATGCTGTGCTGCTGCCAAGGGCGCTGACGGGGCGCATAGAGGTGAAGTGGGGCGCATGCAGCCATAGCCGGGCTGCTGGGCGCCAGGGGGTAATGCGGGCGATAGCGTGGTCTTCAGGGAAGGAGGCGAGTGTGGGGTAATCAAGGTCTGATTGAGGGTGACGAGATACGTACCTGGTGCATGAAGAGAGGTCGTCTATGTTGTTGACAGTCATTGACATTGGTCTTCGAGAGTTGAAGTGAGCCTGTTGCGTGAATCAGCTGTAGGTAGGGTAGTCGGGTAGAGTAGGCTGCGTGCTGGGCGCCAGACAGAGAGGAGCGACTTTGGATACTGTATTGTTGTGGCCTACGGGCTTGAACATTGGCTCATTACTTCATTGTATTGCTCTATATGGATGGTTTTCTCGGTGCATTTTGTACTCTCTGCTTGGTTACGACTACCTGGACATCTGTGTGATTTCCCAACTTGGTTTTCAGTATATCGTTCACACTCATATTCCTTGCATCATCATCAGCTCCATTATATTCTGGGAAGAACTACAATCGTCCCCCGAACACAGGGCACCCTGGTCATTGAATGCTCAGGAGCGGCCATTCCGGTGTGATTGATGCAGTCATGATGAGGGTGAGTTGTGTTCGGGGGAAGATGGCAGTCCGGTTCCTTTTTCATCAGCAATGGCAGCAACCCATTAGAATACAACAACGCAAAATTGGGTTGATGGCATTGATGGCCTCTTGGGGTACTCACTTCCATCCTTGCCACTTGCACACTTTGGATTTTCTTTTTTCAAAGTTCTAAATAGAACTGGACCATTTTTCAAAAACTACCCTATATTCTTCCCTTATTATATCTCCCACTACCTGCCTATCTACTTATCTCTAGTCCAGTTTTTTTTTTTTTTTTTTGGGTACTTAAGCCGCTCCTGTACCCTGTGTTTGGGTTCATCATCAACTCTGCTCTGTGCGGGAACAGTACCCTGGCGCCTAACCCCTGGCGTGGGATGGAAGGCCTCGGGTAACCTACCACCACCAGCCAGGGGGTCAAGCCATCTATCGCCGCTGGTGAGCCCAAAGTGTGCCGCAGATGGCCGCTGGGAGGCCAATTGATGCCATGGGGAATCAAACCCACGACCTCCTGAATGTCACTTACGTGCTCTACTGAGCTAGGCTCGCTGGCCTGAACTGGACAATTTTTCGATTTTTGCATGTCATCCTTGTGCAGGGGCCATGCTAATCTTCTGTGCATTGTTCCAATTTTAATGATGTGCCGAAGGGCATACTATTTTTCAAAGTTTTAGCTCATTTTTTCCACAAATTTTGTAGACTGGGACGCTCGTTTCAAATCATTAGATGCTCTTCACTGTACATTTCAAGGAGTCCTACTTTGTACCATCTTGCAAGGCTGGCACACACCTAAAGGACCCACACCTGCTTTTCTATCTGTAGACTTTTGTAAAGGAGCCATTCTTTCATTTAAGTCATGTCCATTTATAGAATGCCCCCTGGACATGAAGTCAGCCATTTGCCAACCGGCTTTGAACAGCTCATCTGATCATCCTCGAGCTCTGAAAGCATCGAGACCTGGAAACGCCAGTGTGGACTGAATTTTGCTGCCAGTTTGCTCAACCAGCAACCAAATCACTGAATCAGCTTGAACGACGCAATGCTCAAGCAGGCAAGTGGTTTAATCCTCCATTCCACATCTCTGCCTGCATTGTACACGTACCTGGCCATTACATGGCCATTGTCCATGCATCTGGCCAGTGGGAGTAGTGGGACAGCGGCATTATGGTCCATGCCATGAGTGATGTTAGTCATTTCTTACATAACGATGCTGATTTCTTACCACACAAAGCCATCCGCAATCTCATTTATGTCGAAGATCATTCCTCTGGCCCCGTGCTGTAGCAGCACAGTGTACCAACACTCTGCGACCTTCTCCTCTGCACAACTACATAGAGGACTGCCCCTCCGTTCCTGACTGCAGGCACCCTGCGCATCCGGACACTAGACGTTCATTTTGTGGCCATGGGCGTTATTCTGAATGCGTGCGTGGCCTTTTGGGGTGGCCGTTCTTCCTTCGTGTTGGCCTGCAATCGACATGCGATTTCTCGGGGGTGTATGGTGGGCGTGCTCAATGCCAGCCGTCGTGGCAATTGTTGTACTGTGAATACTCAGCTAGATCTTCCGTGTGTTCATCCACCTCATCCTTACAATGTATGCCCTATCTGTTGTCAAGGACAAACTGACTCTTGCGCCTTTTCTTATCCTTTGCGTTTGTCTTCATTTCACACTCCTTACTTACTTTCCCTTTGTCTTCCTTCGCTTTGTCTTCTCTCCATTTCTTCTCTGTGTTTATCCAGTCCCCCTTCACTCTGCCTCTTTCTCACAGCGTACAAGTCGGCCGTTATGCCACACAGGGATGTGGGCAGCTTGCCGCTTCTGTTTTTTTTGTTTTTATCCTTTTACTAAGTTTTTTGCCTCTGTTTTTTTTTTTTTTTTTTGTAAAAAAGACGACGGCCTTGATTCTGTTCATCAGATTACAGCTGGATTCAAACTTGGGTCTGTTTTTCAACGGTTCATTGAGTGTACCAACTGAGCGAGGCCCGTTGGTACAGCCTCGGTGTTTTTGTTTTTTTGCTCTGTTTTGCAAATTTTTGTATGTTAAGTGTGGGCGTGAAGACCATCCCAGAGTTTGTTTCCTGTAGCAGTGATGTAAATGGATTTTCGAACAGGAGCTCAGACATTTTGGATGAATAGCACGTGGTGTGAAAAACCGCATTTGTGCAGAGTGCATTGGAGGCTGCTGCAGCGCGGCTGAAGCTGGATGTTGGGATCATACGGAAGGAGAGGGCAGTCGGAGCGGTCCCTCTGCATCCAACCATTTACGAGGTCTGTGCCTCTTGTCTGTGAAGTTTGAACCGACTGTGAGTGAGGGGAAAACCAAGTGTCCACTTTTTCTGTTTTTATGCCTCCTCTTTTGAAGTCCTTGTGGCCTTAGGTCTGTTCTCTTCTAGGGAGCAACACTTCACCTGCCCAATTCACCTGTCTATTGCTTGAGTTGCTGTGGATAAATCTTTGAATTGCACTGTCGTCCTTGACATCGGCATACTCGGGCAATCCAGGATGAACGATTTGGATCATGTTCGATTCTTTGTACCTTACCTGTCAACAAAGCGTTACGTCGAAACTTGAAAGTCAATTCTTTGCTGCAATCGTCTGGTGTGGAAGCCTCCATGGAAAAGGGTGATACCACCTGTGGAATTTCGTCCAGCGGAGCGAATTTTACTTCTAATTGTCAACGGCGAAATCTTTGGAGAAGCCCTTGTATCCCCTACAACCTCATGCAGCCAAGATCAACAAGAGACATCTCCTGTCCAAAGCCTACTCTCCTTGATTAGTTTTGAAATACAAGATTACGCGAGAAACCGCACAGGATTGCGTTCTTGCTTTTCAAGGATGAAATCTTCAGAGAATCAAGATCTGAACAGTGGATAGGGTTGCCTTTTAATCTGCTACCACCTCATACAGCCAGGTTAACAAGAGACATCGCTGTCTGAAG